GACCTCAGGGGAACTGATGGCAGTGAAGATGCGAGAACACCAGGACCAACTCTCAGTCATTGCTAAAACCCACCAACACCTCCCCTCACACCGTCTTATCCAGAGCAAATAGTCTTCAAGTTATTGTTTCTAGAAAACATATCAATCACCCCAAACCCAGCATTATGAAAATAGTCATTTTATTTATCCTTTTTTATCCTCACAAATTCTGTTCATACCACAGGGACAGATGGCACCTGCCCCTTGCCCTGTGGGACCTCAGCTAGGAAGACTCAAGGGTGTATATATTAAAGCCCTGTCTCTAGAATAGCATGTTGGAGGAAATAACATTTCAACCACCTATGGGAAACAGATTCTTTTTTCTTTTTTAAGCAACAACTAACAAACCAGTATTTAATTTGGTATGTAAATAATTTAAAAATCAAATGGAAGCAGTCTCTAAAGTAAGATAATTCATGGCAAAATACCATGAATTCAAGCTCTACTACTGGAAATATTTTTCAACATGAATAACCTAAAATGTACCTAGAAAGATAAAATAAGGATATAAATTAGCCAAGTATTAAGATTTTAGTGAGTCCTTAAAATTATTTTTAAGAACTGTAGAACTCATTCATGAGATGCAGAAATGGATTAATGAGGGCTGGGGATTTAGCTCAGTGGTTCGGTGATCTGCCTAGCAAGCAGGCAAGCAGAGGACCTGAGTTCAACCCCCGGTACCAAAAAAAAAAAAAAAAAAAAAAAAAAAAAAAAAAAAAAAAAATTAACTACAAATCTCTTTTAAATTCTTTCATACATGACCTTATTAGAAGCAATGTATTTGCATTCACTAGCAAAATTCATGGCAATGAAGTATTTTTGAAGTATATTTTATGGAAATAAATCCTTTATAGACTAAATAATCCATAAGTAACAGTATTATAAATAGTGCCCCTTTGAGAACACAGGCTGGTCGCACTTTTGCACACCTCCAAGGTGAGTCAAGGTATGAAACAGGGATGCAAGCAACTTACAGAATTTACTACAAGAAGCATTTCTACTTGATCCTCATTAGTCACAGAGTCTGCATCTGCAAATTTGCCTACTTGCTAAAATATATTTGTGATTCCGTGATCAGTACCTATAGTATGTGCCAGTCACTCACCGACACACAGAGCAGCAAAATACTTAATGGGCCCTGAACATGCTGGGGTGGAAGAGGTGGGGCCTCTCAGGCTCTGGCTGAAAGGCTGTCTGTCCAGTCCTTAGTACTGCATGTTTCACATTCTTGTGCTTTTAGGTTGGTGATCTGACTGTTGAACATGGCCTCTAGGCGTGGTGCTGCAACGCTGACCTGTGCTTCTAAGTGTAAGAAGTCTGTCAGGAAGCTCACAGAGAACACAGATGTTACAGCAGCTTCACTCAGGCTTGGGTTATAACGTTGGCCTTGAGTTCAATGTTAATGAATGAACAATATGTATAAGTAAGGCATTTTACGCAGAAACAATACCAGGTTACATATAAATTGGTGGCCAGAGGTTCATAAAAACCTAATTCTGTATTTCCTCTACCAGCAATAGTTCTAGGCTCACAACGTTGTTCGAAGTGACTGTATGGACTTTCCGTGGATTCAGAGAATTGGCTACAATTCTGTCTGAAAGACTCCCCGGGTCATCTTCCTCAGCTCAGCTGATTTTGGAGGCCCCACTGATATAAGGTTCTACACCACACCACAGCACAGCAGGAGGCTGTCCTGGGGGCCACCAGACCCACCGAAGACCTTGAGGACCTTGAGGACAGAGCACAGGGAAGATTTCTTGCAGGAGTGGATGCTGAAAGCCAGTGAGATTTGAGGGGACCCACAGCACAACTTAAGTCTTTCCCAACCAACACAGCCATTAGATATCTGCTCCTGAGACAGCGCTCCACAATTGCACATAAGATCATTTGAAAAACAAACAAGAGACATGTGGGTACTTTGGTAACACACACACACACACACACACACACACACAGGCACTTCCCCTCCACTTCAGGGACTTTGAAATGTGGAAAACAGAACTTATCTCAAAATATTTCATAAACCTTAAATGAAAGTATTGGAGTCATAGTGTCACATAAAGATTATGTTCTACTACAACAATTTAATCATAATGCATCAACAAGAAACTTGACTTGATTATTGTGAGGTATGTGTGTAAAACTTGAGCTTTCTGAAATTAAACTTGTTCTAATAAAATCCCATTAATTTGAAATACACTCCTTTCTTTCCTTCTGTTCTTTTACATGACTAATTACTACCCTTAAATATAGAAAATTTAGCCTCATCACCTGCGGTTGTTTTCATTGATTGTATATGCCACATCCATAACAAGAATGTATCCAAAATTAGCCAGTTTTTCTGCAAATAAAATGCTCTATCTTTAAAAAAATGATAACTATAAAAGATATCCTGCAGATAAAGGAAAAACAAATGTTTTAACTAACTGTAAATCCCTTCCTTTCCCTCTTTAAAAAAAACTGCAATAAAGTATAATTATATTCTCAACTTCAAAAAGTCACCTAAACAATGAATCACATCTGTTACACAGTTAAAATAAGCAGGCTGTTTTTAAAAAATAAGTAGAAATTCTTTATTGAGGCTTCACTACATAATTCAAACTTAACCCTGCACAACAATAGATTTGATGTAACCAGCAGAAAGTGTCCTGCTGGGAAGGGCAAAGGAGAGGGAGGACATCAACTGCTTTTGAAACACTAAACCCATACGGTGGGATATTTTCCAGCAATAAGAGGGGGAAAAGTGCAGTACTAACAGTGGTATCACATGAATGAATTTTCAAAATACCATGGCTGGGTCTTTTACTAAGTGATTACACAAAAGATTATATTTTGTGCGATTCCATTTATATGAAATGTCCAGGTTTGCCAAAGCTACAAAGAAAGTAGATCAGTGGATACCAAGGGTTGGGCAGGACTAACAGGGAAGAGGTGTATGTGTGTTAGATACAGGTGATGGTTGTAGGTCATAGTGATTATGCTTTTAAAACACTGAATTGTAGTTTGTTTTTGTTTTTTGGGTTTTTTGGTACTGGGAATTAAACTCAGGACCTCTCGCTTGCCAGGGAGACAGCAGGCAAATCTACTGAATTGCAGGTTTTTTTTGTAACAGTACATTTTATGTAATATGAATTCTTCCTCAAAAGAATTAAATCAATAGGTGCGCACACAGGATGGTTATACTAATAATGTAATTACAAAGGCAGAAGAAAACAGGTGTTAGTGAGGACATAGAGAAATAGAACACATACTCTGCTGCTGGTGAGAATGTCAAATGGTGAGAAAACAGTTTCGTAGCTCCAAAAAACAACAAAAAAGAGTTAAATATAGAGTTTTTCCTATAACTCTGAGTAGTTGCCTGAGAGATGAAAATATATCTACAAAGAAACCCGTACACATGTTTATAGTAGCACTACTTGTAATAGCCAAAAGTTGGGAAAAATCCAAATGTCCACTAAGGGATGGATAAACAAAGTATTTATACAATGGCATATTATTTAGCCATAAAAAGAACGAAATACTGATACATGCGATCACATGGGTGCACTGTGAAAGTATTTTAAGTGAACCAAACTAGTCACAAAGAATCACAGCCGTCATGCTTCCATTTACACGGAATGTAGTAGGCAAACCTATAGAGAGACAGCAGACAGCTTACCGCACAGGAGTTGCTCAATGTGTTGTCCGGAAGCTGGAGGGCGGGGTAATGGGATGGGTCATTTTCAAGGGAGAGAGGCTGTAACACAAATGTCCTGACTTTGTGAACGGTGCCATTCTGTGAATATACTAAACCACTGAATAGTATAATGCAGTTCAGGCTGCACTTGAACTCACTAGGCAGCCCAGGCTGGCCTCAAATTCTCAGTGATCCTTCTGCCTCCTAAATGCTGGGATTGCATGCGTACTATTTATCTGTTAGAGGAAAATAAGACATCTAATCAGAATTTCTAAAAGCACTACAGTCTGTCCTTCCCCATCCCCTACCCCTGGTGGGACCACTGGGGAGTTTGGGGCCACAGCTGCGAGAGGTCAAGGAATCAGTACAGCTGACGGTTCTCCTGGTCGCTGAGACAGCGCCCACCTTGTCCCGCGAGGTGCCCCGCAGGCTGAGACTCGGGGTGCTTGCACGTGTGAGTGGGGCCGCCCGCCCGTGGCTGGGTCCCAGACGGCACCCAAGCGGGGAGAGCCGGGACCAGGGCCGCAGTCAGGGAGCCACGATGGGGCTTCTGGCGCCTCCTCCGCCTTCCTAGGGCACAAGCGGCCTGCAGGGGCGCTCGCAGGTGGGGGGCCCAGGAGAGGCGCCCCGACCGGGTTC